ATATATATATATATATATATATATATATATCTTGCAAACAAGAGATTGCTCGGTCAAGCTACAGTTGAGTTTTAATACTAATTTTAGATTATGCAGCCTCCACTGTTTGACGAGTAAAACTTTCAAAATTCCGAGAGTGTAGCTTTTCCACTTCTGATTTCAGACACAAGGCTGAAGTTAGACTCGGGACTTTACCTCACGATTCAGAGTGAGAGAAAGAGCTGAAGGTTGTTACTTTTACGGTTTTTAAATGTGAATTTTTGGATACTATTCGCCTGAAACTTCAGTTTTATAGTTTTTGCAGTCTTTAAACCTAATCACATGGGTCAAGGAGAAAACTCACTGATTTTGAGTCCCGGCGTACAAATTAGTTCAGAAAAACTTCGAGACTAACCGTAGACTCGAAATTCGCCGTCTCTCTGCAGCCACTGCACGGGATAATTGGCCTGAGGAGAAACAACTGTTGGAGCCATTTGCATAGGCGGAATATCGCTCGGTGTTTGATCTACAGAGATTGGAGACGGTAATTCTGGAGACAATGAAATGGAGCCAGAAGCTAACTCATTGAAATGTGTCATGTAATGCAGCTGAAAGAGTTGTTTTGGATATTTCTTCGAATTATTGGAAAATAAGTTCATGGAAAATGAATAATCCACCTGCACCGAGTTGCTCGCGTGATGCTTTCGGCGGCTGAGCACGAGGTATCCATGGTTCTGGAGATGGCGTTTCATACTGTGGCCGACTAATTACATGACTTTGTTGCTGAACAGCTCTTGGATACCACGGCATTTCAGGTGGCAAAAACTGTCCTGCAATTTAATATTGTGCATATGATGGGGAATAAAAAGCACAAACTTTGATGACACTCATATTTGAATGATCCCTAAATCTGAAATTACTAGTGACTGGCAGCGGCCGTTCAGGCCACACTGGCTCCCTGGATCGCGCCGGTGCAGTCGCTCGTGGTGTTATTTCAATGGATGTGCGAGTTGACGGCGGCGGTTCGGATGATGACCGGGCAGTTGCTGGTCCGGTGAATTGCGGGATATGTTGAACGGCATCATGCACTGAAACAAAAATTAATTAATATCAAATTCATCTCAGTGTGATGATGGTATACTGTGTGAAGTGTTCTTGCAAGCCGCTCCGTCCTGAGTTGCTACTGTTGCAAATAGAGCATCTGGTTACTGAACGAACATTCGATAAGTATCACAGAGAAAATATTAGGACTCTAGCAGGCACTACGCATCACGTAACAGGTTTATAGTTGCTAAACAGAGAAGCAATCATTGGGCACTAGAACGATAGACAAAAATCGCTGTGACCGTCATTACGTGGCCGATTAATGACAAGTGTACCATAACAACTCGGACTATCAGTTCGTGTGTCCATCGTTAGTGTTGTAACTAAAGATAATGGATGCACACGCCAAACGCAGCTATGTCAGGGCATTCGATCCTGTGCTAGCCTACAGCTAGTACCCACCGTTTGTTTTACAGTATGTGCGCTAGCTTTTTAAAAGTCGCCTGAGTGGGCAGCTTGGGCAGCTTTTACTATTGCACATTGTCCACCGACTGACAGCCAAGTAATATCATTTTTATGCGTTTTTGTATATAAGCGAATGTGAAAACGCATATTGTGACGACCCCGGTGTGTGTTTGTGTGTGTGTGTGTGTATGTGTGTGCGTGTATGTGTGTGCGTATGCGCTTGTCCGGGTATTTCAACTCGGCACCCAAGCAAGTTCCGGCGCCGAAATTTTTGCGAGTGGTTTCCCAGGCCAAGTGCCAGCCCAGGACCGCGGTACCAACCTTTATGCACGACTAACTTCACGTACGAGCGAGCGAGAATTTTGGCGGGAAAATCGCTGACTCGGGAACCAGAAAAGCTAGAAAACTCGAATTTTGAGGTTATGCCCCCTGTCCATAGAGAACCCGAAGACTTCAACCTCAGTCTGGAGGTGTGCGAGGTTCTCACAAGCGGCCCCGCGAATGTTTTTGATGGGAAAATGGCTAACGCCGGATCCAGGAAAGCGGGGGAGCTGAAATTTTCGGAGAACGTCCCCAGTTCATCTGCAACTTAAATTTACCGAATTTAGCCCACGGGCATGCCTGGTTGTCATGTACGGCCCAGTGAAAGTTTTTGGTGAAAGTATGGGTAACTAGGGAACTGGGAAAGCTGGAAACTTGAGATTTTAAGGGAATGTTCCCAGCTCTTATACAACTTAAAGTTTAGTAACTAAGCAGTTACGCGAGGCTCTCACGTACGACCTCGTGAAATTTTTTGGCGGGAAAGTCGCTAACTCGGAAAACAGGAAAGCTGAGAGGCTGAAATCCTAAGGAAATATTTCCAGCCCATGTGCAACTAAAACAATGTAAATTTAGCCCCAGGTGAGCGTGATTCCAATGCACGGCCCGGTGAAAGTTGTTGACGGGAAAATCGCTAGCTCAGGAAGCAGAGACAAAGAAAATTCCACATACGTATACTGTGGCTATGTTGCTGCTATGATATACACAGTGGCTACACGGTCGATGTTGTCGTTAAGTTGTCGGCATCCTATACAGATGACGCAATAAAACGTATATAATATACACACACACACTGTATACCCACAGAACCATGAAAGCACCGGTTATTGTAATTTTCCTCGTGTAATACACCTATGTTGCTGGTATATTATACACAGTGCGTGCGCTGAAGCTACACGATAACATCAGGTTACAGGTAACATGCCCTCACCTGCACCTGGTAGCGGGTCGCACTTACACATTCCTGGTTGGCTAGTTACCTGGATAAGATGTTGCCCGTACCTGTATGGACCGCCCACCCTCTCGCGCTGTAGCGCTTCCGCTCCGCCTTTCAGCTGTCGCTGGGACCAGTTCTGGTCCGCTCTGGTAGCTGCCACCCCTTCTCTCGACTGTTCCCCCATTCCTTCCCCGCCTCACCCGCAGCCTCTCATCCTTCCCAGCTGCATCCATATCTTTTCCCCGTAATTTTATACCCACTTTCTTCCCGCCTCCCTCTCTCCAGCCTGTGTATTGCACAGTAATACAGCAATTAGTGAACACTTTATTAAATACAAAATTTAAAAAAAACCATGAAACAACGAACAAATAAGTGCGTTTTTTCAAATCATTTTTTAAACAATCAAGCACGCATTTCGCCAATACATAAAAAAATCATTTAAGAAGCGAAATCAATATCATTTTTATGCGTTTTTTGCAGCTATGCAATACAAATAATTGGCCAACGCACGAGCTGCCCGTGCGAAGATGCGTTTTTTGCAGAGC